CCGCGTGTGATTTATTGATCTCCAGACTAAGGTGAGTTCCTCCACTGTACTCGTGGGTCGAAGGCACCAATGTAGGCCCACTAAATTATGTTTATGGGATGGAAGTGTCTTCGTGACAATTTCCTGATATGCCTTTTTATGCTTGTTGTCTCTGTGACACTTACTGGTATGATTATATGCTAGCTGTAGGGGGTAAAATAGGCTCGATATCGGTTGAAAGAGACCGAAGGGGTTGAGATATACCTAGTATCGGTTGAAAGAGACCGAGGGAGGTGAAATGGACCCTATTATGTTTTGACTGTTATGTATGTATGGTATGGGGTATTTTGGGGGAGCTAACTAAGCTTGTGCTTACAGTTTTTAGTTTATGTTCTAGGTACTTCCAGTTCGAAACAGAATGGTCCGGCTTGATCGCACTGCATCCGTCCACGTTTTTCCGCATTATGTGATTTTAGGATTTTGCACTCTGATGTTATTTCACTATGATACACTTTTGGTTATTTTGACATGATTATTTGATGTTTTGAAATGAATTTAAAATGAAATTTTTATCTGAAGTTTTTTGGGATGTTACAATTTACAGACTTATCCAAGTGTGACACTTTTGGATTAAGTATCTAAGACAATAACTAAATTGTTATATACTTGAATTAAAAGAAAAATCCTATTTGGGTTGCCTTCAAAACTAGTAATTGACGGAATGATTTTTGGAGAGTGAGGTTGATTTATTGGTTTATTATATAATTAATAAATAACAATAAATGATTTGTTAATATATTATGAGTATATATATATATATATATATATATATATATTAGAAATAGTATTATTTAATTAATAATTAATCAGAAATTAATTAGAAGTAATTTAAGATTAATTGGATTAATTAAAAGTGCAAGAACTTAAGCTGTAATTGTTGAACAGTTGAACAATAGAAGGATTCTAGATCCTTCCTAGGGGGGTGAAATTTAGTAGCCTCCAAGGGTTTCTAGAATGTTCAATATGGATAAGAAGAAAACTAGATAAAGCCAGATTTGAAATAATATTATTTTATTTTAACCTAGGGTTTCCAAAGTTCTCCTATCAGCTATAAATAGGATTCCTTGGACTCCTTATTTTCGTCCCATGTATACCAAGAGTTAGAAGAGCCAAAATTCTACTTCCATCTCCTTTCTCCTCTCAAGTCTTCCATTACTAGGATTTGGGTTCAAACCATTAGAGACATCAAAATTTTGGTGTTGGCTTTCCAAGAAAATTGAAGAAAGGAATTCTTGACTATTTACAATAATAATAAAAGATGTATGTGAACCCTAATTCTTGTAATTTCGATTATAGTAGGCTTGCCTTAGGGTTTATGATGTTCGATTGTTTATTGCTTTCAATAGAGAAAACTTAGATTCAAAGTAGGTTGAATGTGAACTTAGGGGTTAAGGTGTTATCGCCACATATATTAATTATAACCTATAAAACCTATCAATAATGTGTCCAAAACGGAGTATATATGAATGAGATATAGATGCTCAAATATGAGTATTTGGAAATAAAGGTAACAAATAAAAATGGTTGTGGGAATGAGTTCCACATAGGAAAATGAGCAAACTATTAGTGGATTCATAAGCATATATACATAATGGGTTACAAGCTTTTATGTATGGTTTTACTCTAACACCTACATGTGCACATGGGTGCAAATCTTGGATTTCATAAACCAAAGTCACCAAACTTTTATGTGGGCGTGACCTGAGGACATGACTGCAACTCCAAAATTTCGGGTTCGCGCAGGCCACGTTTTGGCAAACCTTTACATATTTTTTAACTAATGCATTAGATCTAAGTTAATGCGTAATTACTTCATTTAATTTCAAATTAATGAGTATATTTACATTGATCGGTATATAAAGAGACATGTGATTCTCATTCAAATATAACTGAAAAAAATACTCTTTGCATACATTTTTTGTTGATCTTTTTCAGGTAACTGATCTACTCCGGCAGTAACACACTGCTTCAGCTGTTGTATCCTATGAACAAAAGGCTAATTTGTTTAAGGGTATCATGTCTAACACAAGCCTCAATATTCCATTTATTACTAACGATATTTTGCAGATACAAGCTCATTACAGAAAAATGCATAAAAAAACTAACAAATATTGTTTAACTCAGACTAATTCAAGTAAACATGTTGTTTCCATAAACGAACAACATCTTCCTTGAACTTCAAATCACCGACATCAGTATTCTTACTCATTAATCAACTGATATTATGAACCCATAACAAACACTACAACAGTTCTAACAACTATATCTCATAAGAATTATACATAAAATCGACACACCCAATGTGTCATTTATACAGACCATAAATATCAGTATCAACTCATAAGCAGATGAACAACCCAATCTCTTACAATACAATTTGAAGACACAATAAATTAAAAGACATATGAGCAGCTTAAAACGGAACCCACAAGAATCTGCAACCGCCTCTCAGCAGATAGTCTTTTCCAATTAATTAACACGTGGGAAAATAACCCCTTACCATACCTTATTTTTCGCAAATAGCGTCATATTAGACATGTCATGTTGTCTACAATTGCAGTGCTTCTGATCAACACAAATGTTCTTAATTAAGTCGTAATAAAGAATTTAAATAATCATACTAAAATAGATAACATGTATATTGCGTTTATGAATAATAGTTTTTCATAAACCTCTGGGGATAACTTTTCTCAAAATAATTACTACTTCCGTCCCATATTTATTATCCATTTTTGACTTTTGAAGTTTTTATTCTTCAACTTTGACCTTAAATATTTTTATTTATGTTATATATTACTTGATGAAACTTATAACAATGAAAAAACATTTAAAACAAAACTCATTTATATATTTTACATCAAATATTATATAAAAATTAAAATATTTAAGGTCAAAGTTGAAATATAAAGACTTCAAAAATCAAAAGTGGACGATAAATATGGGACGGGTGGAGTATTTTTTTTTTCGTTCATATATAAATTTAAAGTTACAAAAATTAATAATTAAAAAAATCTCTACAAAGATCGTAAAGTTTGGAAATCTCAAATTTAGATGTTTCTGATGTTTGCATTGAAATGTACTATAAAATAAAATCACAATACTATAGTTTTTTATTATATACCTCATTGTTAATTAGGGCATATCTCGGAGAAGTTTTAAGTTGAAACGTTAAAATATCAACCGAATGTCCCGTCACCATCGAAAAGAAAGAAACAGACTATAAATTGACATGGAAAAGAAAAAGAGACCATAAATTGATAATATAATTTGGAGATTAGTTACTCCTAATTATAGTTTTTCTTCCTAATTATATACATATTAATGGGTGAATAATTTGTAAAGGTGCCATGATCTAACATCATGACAAGTAACCCATCTCTTTTCAATCTCTATACATTATGTTAAACATATATTTAATATGCTTATTATCAGATAAATTCATGTATCTACGGCTATGATAAATCCCTCTCAAATATGCATTTTCGTATAACTAAAAGGAATAAATTAAATATAATTCTAGTCTATCGTAATCTTCTAGAGCGCGTTTATTAAGTCAAGAGAACGATTTATCTTCTTTGATCGATGAAGGCTAAACCATAAGCCAAATGATATTTTAGTTGTTCGTTCACGATCTAGTACTATATATTTTCTTATTTCTTGGTTTTCTTTTATTTTTTTTTATAAACAAATATAATCTATATATTAATCATAGCACATTAAATAATGGGCCGTTAAATAAAATGGTTTTCCCAAAACTTTCGTAGAAAATAATCTCAAAATAACCATGTTTGTTCGCAAAAAAAAAGTATCTCTTCCATGTAGCTAATAAAAATAATTAGTTTTCTATAAATCACAACTTAGCATGTCTTTAATTAGTCGTATAATTTAATGTAACAATTATCTTTCTAATCTAAAGCTGCTACCTGAAACTTTATTTTTATATGAGTGTTTTATAAAAATAACTAAAATTTTTTAAAAATATAAAATTACATGATATATATAAAACACGTTATTGATTTTAAATACAAGTAATTAAGTAAATTTGTAAAACTATAAAATAGTTTTTTAATAAACATTACCTGAATTAGTTTTTGTGTTTTGGAGATTTTTGTTTTAATTAAAAACTAAAAGTACACTGCCAAATGAAACTTTTTTTTTTTTTGAGATTTTTCTTAAACTCTCAAAAATCAAAAAATAACCATTAGAGTTAACAACCATTATTAAAATAAAATAAAACAAAACAAAAACAACTAAACTAAACTCTTTTCTTTTCGACCTGCTAATTAATGGAGTTTTTCTTTTGAGATCGAAAAGAAAATGAGTGGTCCGAAAAAATGTAATTGGGTATCACTATGCATCGCACAAGTCAGTAGTCCACTAAAATAATTCATGAAAAAAAAATATACAAAAAATAAATATGTACATCGATGGGCCACTTTGCTTTCAAGTTATTTTCATTCTATTTTTTCCGTATTAATTAGGCTTCTTTGTATAATAATAATTTATAATATGATGTTTTTCATATTAATCCCAATACTAAATTAAAAAACAAATAAAATAAACGAACTTGTAATGTTGGCCAAGTATAGGAGATAGAATTAGCTACCCGATTAACAAGCCACATGCATTTGAATATCCAAGATTTTGACGTTGAACCTTATATAATTTATTTATTTTGATCCTAATTTCTCTCAACGAACAAGTTAAATAACAAATAAACCTATCTTTAGTATTATCCAAATTTTGAACCTTAACAGACAATAATAATATTTTTTAATTGAAACCAAATAAACAATCAATATAAAATTAAAAATCCAAAGCAAACATACAAATTCGAGTATAAACTAGCAAATACTATTATGAATTCCAGACTTATCGATCTAAATAAAACTATAACTTTTTATAAATTAATTAAAATATACCCATATAAATACTAGAATTCCTTGATGTTAATTCTTCATTCCAAGTCATACCCCAACTCCCCAGGAGATTCAAAGAATGAGAGTTCTACTCCAATGGCTTCTCATCTTTGTTGCCACCACCTTCACCACAGAAACCATGGGTGCACCCAACAAGACTCCAAAACTTAGCCCTATCGACCCGCGTTTAAGAGATCTAAACATCGATAACTTGGCAACTGTTTCTAGCGACTTAGAAACGTTTTTCTACAACCAGACACTCGACCATTTCAATTACAAGCCAGAAAGTTACACCACTTTCCCACAACGCTATGTTATCAACTCTAAATGGTGGGGTGGTGCGCATAACAATGCACCGATTTTTGCTTATCTTGGAGCCGAAGGACCCATAGATGGTGACATCAAGATCCTCGGATTTCTTCCTGAAAATGCCCCACGTTTCAAGGCTCTTATTGTGTATATAGAGGTATGTATTTAGGGTTTTATAAGCTAAAAGCAAGAGATTACAACGTATCATACTTTTCGTTACTTTTCTTTCTATTACAGCATCGGTTTTATGGAAAATCGAATCCAGTCGGGTCAATGGAGAAATCCGTAAAAAACAAGAATTTGCGTGGGTATTTCAATTCGGCTCAAGCATTGGCAGATTATGCAGAAGTACTTGAACATCTCAAGAAAAAGTTGCATGCACATAATTCTCCTATCATCGTTATGGGAGGCTCTTATGGTGGAAGCAAGTCATCTAACCTTGAACAAAATTAATTCTTTTTCCGTTTATTAGACCCTTAAACTCAATTATTTATCTAATTAACGATTGATTAAACTGAAATTTTAGTGCTTGCTTCATGGTTTCGTCTAAAGTATCCGCATATTGCGCTTGGAGCTCTAGCTTCATCGGCTCCTATTCTTTACTTTGATAATATTACTCCTGAAGATGGATATTATTCAGTCGTTACCAATGATTTCAGGGTAAAATATTGATTGTCTTTTGAATACATATCTTTTAAAGAATACCATCTATTTGGTAAAAGATTGATTATATTTTAAATAAATATCTTTTGAAGAATTGAATGTTAATTAAACTGATAAAATTGATTATCTATACAGGAAGTAAGCGAAAATTGTTACACGACAATAAGAAAATCATGGGACGAGATCGAAAAAGTTGCTTCAAAACCAAATGGGCTTGCGATTCTTAGCCAAAAATTTAAAACTTGCTCGTAAGTATCAAGTAGTTTTTTGTTTTTTATTTAATTATAATTGAATGCATGTATTAGTTTAATTTAAATCATTTTTCCCATATTTGTTAAGGCCGTTAAAGGATCCAGTGGACCTCACGAACTTCTTAGATTCCACGTATGCGAGTGCAGCTCAATACAATGCTCCACCTAAGTATCCGACGACCCAAATTTGTCAAGGCATTGATGGAGCAAGCAAGACCATTGATATTCTTGATCGTGTATATGCCGGCATCGTTGCGTATCAAAATAAACCTTGTTATAATATGACACAGGAAGTTAGTGAAACATCTATTGGATGGCAGTGGCAAGTAAGTAATTTCACATATTGGATTCTATAGTAATCGAATCACAAAAACAACAAAAGGTCGTGGATTACGTTTTTTAAAATGAAGGAGTCAAGTAGTGTATATATTAATTCAAACAGAATAATTGTTTTCGAATTTGACTTGAATTGAAATAATTAAAGTTAGTTTGGTATACCAAAAAACTATATATATTTAGAGTGCAAAAGTAGTAATAAAGCACACAAACTTTTATGCATTGAGAATCTTCTTACCATATTGGTCATCTTTTTTAGGCAACCACTTAAGAGTTATCATACAATATTTCCACTATAGTAAAATATTTGCAAAATGGTCCTCATAGAAGACCATATTGTATTTACTTTCATACCCTTTATTTGTTTTTGTTATTTTATTGGATATTTACTTTCATACCCTTTATTTGTTTTTATTAATTTATTGGATTATTAATTTGTTCAAGTATATTCAGACTTGCAGCGAGATGGTGATGCCCATCGGTATAACTAGTAAAGTTAGCATGTTCCCAAGCTCGCCTTATGATCTACAAGAATTTATCAACAATTGTAAAAAGTTGTATGGAGTTGCACCTCGAGCTCATTGGGCAACAACTTATTATGGTGGACATGTACGTGTAGTACTTCTTTAATTTCTTATTTAATTTCTAGATGTTATATATATATGGTTTAATTACTTTAATTGCAGGATATAAGACTGGTGCTTAGCAAGTTTGCAAGTAACATCATCTTCTCGAACGGTTTAAGAGATCCTTATAGCAGTGCAGGGTATGTATACAGTGAAAATGAACACTTGTGTTTAGAATTAAAATGTAATAATGGAAACGAATTATGACATATATATGCATGCTGAAAAAGGATAATGGAAAAGATTTAGGAAAAAATCAAAAAAATAAATAAATAAATAAATACATATGCTTTTGATTACAAATCATCACAATGTTATCTTCTCTTTTACGCCTCAGGGTATTGGAAGATATATCAGATTCTATCCTTGCCGTAAAAACAACCAACGGTATGTTTTGAAGCAATATGCACTGATAATGACTCGATATTTACTCCTAATTAACCATTTGGAAATAGTTCTTAAGTGTTTTTTATTTGCTTAATTTGCACGCAGGTTCACATTGCTTGGACATATTAAACTCAAAAGAAGGAGATCCCGAATGGTTGGTTAAACAGCGACACGAGGAAGTACAGATCATCAAAAGATGGTTTGGAAAATACTATCATAGTCTTCGTGTATTGAAGCAATGACATATATCATAGCGTTTATGAATGCTAATGGAAACAAGTCATTGGAGAGTAGTTAAGAATACTTACATATGTTATTAGTGAAAGTTTTATCTACTTTAATTAGTCCACTTTTATTGTCGTTTTTTATGTGTCATAAATTGATAATATGAAACACTTGACTTATGCTTGATCTTTGCTCTTGGTTACGATCACGCACTTTCGCTTAGACTTTATTTTTATTTTTTTTAAGAGCATTCACACTGCATTGAACTTTATAGAGTTCAATGGATTGACACATCGTTTTTCTACATTCTATATTAACTCAAATAATGTTTTCCTATAATGTATTCAACTCTACAATGTTCAATAGAAAGTTAAAAAGCTAATTTATAGTATGTATTTAAGATTAGAAAACTTTCATTTTTCCCATTGAAGGGTTCAATGACCATTGAACTCCAAATCCATTGAATGTGAATATGACATCTTATTATGATAGAATTTCATTTATTGAATGATAACTAGACTTGTCACTTCCATCAACTCTCTTATTCAACTCACCATTATGTATGCTCTAACTAATAATCGTTTCTATAAAAAAAACCAAACAAACAAAATAATATCAATGATACCAAAAAAAAATTCATTCAATATGTATATCTATATCTATATCTATAGTATTTAATAAATAAAAAATAGTAAGTGTTAAGTGTATATTTTTAGAGTATCATTCTAATTATGTCACATGATATCCTTAAAAATTTATTCATATTTATATATATATATATATATATATATATATATATATATATATATATATATATATATATATATATTCATATTTTGAATTTTAAAAACCAAATCAAGATTTAAATTTTGAAATCATTATTTATTATTTTTTATATACTCTATCTTTTATAAATAAATATAATATTGTCATTCTTTTTTGTATCTCAAATATGGTCCACTTTGAGAAAAAAAAAAAAAAAAAAAAACTTTTCATATTTTAAAGACTAAACTGCACAAATGGTCCATGTGGTTTGCTGAAAATTGTCACTTTGGTCCAAAAATGTTTGGACTAGCACTACAGGTCCAAAGTTTTCATTTTGTTGCGAGTTTGATCCGATTTACTTTAAACTTTTTTGAAATGACGATTTTACCCTTGCTTTTGCTTTTTCAGTTTATTTATTTATTTAAATATTTGTATGATTAAAAAAATAAAATCTTTCTCTCTCTCTCTCTAAACCCCAAAGAACACTAAACCAGTGGAACACCACCATCACCTTCAATTGCAACAATGAAATCTATAACCTATCATCTCCCACATCCCCCCCCCCCACACACACATACCTTCTGCCTCCAGTAGTATCTCCCATAAAACCCTCTGGTTTAAAAAATATATTCAAGAAATCTGGATTTTTTTTTGCCAAAATTATCAAGAAATTGACCATGGTGGAATGAACCTACAGAATTTGGGTTTTTGTTCAACAAAACCAGATTTCTCAAGATATTAGCAAACCCAAAAGCAAAACCGTTCGACTCCATCTATGTCACATTCGTGTTTTACCAGCAAAACCAAATTAAGGGGTGAGGAGATCGGAAGTTCATTTTCATGAACAATGACGCCATGATCTTCCTCAGCAAACCCTAGATTTGCCTCCATCCTTACAGATCTGCAATACCCACCTAGATATGCTTCCCTCCTTACAGATCTGCAACCATGTCCTCATCTTGTCTTCAGAATCGAATGAGAGAGACGAAGGATACATCCAAATCTTCAACGATGTATGTTGTCGTCGTGGACTTCTGAATCTCCGGCGATGACGACGTTTTCTGATGATAGCGAAGATTTAGGGGAAGTAGGTGAAGCTTGTTCTTCCATTGATGGGGATACCAAACACGCATCAACCAACAATTGGGATCATGGATTTGGAGGTGCTAGTGGAGTATGTGTTCATGAGTAATCATTTATAGTTTCTTTTTCAAAAAATCAAAAATCTTCTCTGGGTTTATTCGAAATCTGGGTTCATTTGTGGAGTTCATTTGTATGTTGAAGAACAGATACATAATTTTGGAGTGTATGTGTGTGTTTTAGAAAAAACGAAAAATTTCCATGTTTTGTTTGAAAGATTTCTTGAATGGTTTTCACCTACAAAGATTTTATCATTTGATGACATTTGCTACTTCCTTTTTCTTCTGTATTATTAACACGAAGTAATTACAAATCCAAGAGAGCAAAAAATGGAACAAATTTTTTGAACTTCTCTATTGTCGAGAGAAAGAGAGAGAGAGAGAGAGAGATTTTATTTTTTAATCATACAAATATTTAAATAAATAAATAAATTAAAAAAGCAAAAACAAGGGTAAAATCGTCATTTCAAAAAACTTTTAAGTAAATCGGACCAAACTCGCAACAAAATGAAAACTTTGGACCTGTGGTGCTAGTCTAAACCTATTTGGACAAAAGTGGCAATTTTTAGCAAACCACAGGGACCATTTGTGCAGTTTAGTCTATTTTAAAACATTAACTCCAAAGTTACAACTTAAGTCCTTAAAATAATGATCTTTTACTACATTTGAAACCCATAATTCTATATAAATCATAGAAAAAAATTGTTGAAGTAACTAATTATTTTTTGACGAAACTTCAAAAATGGTCTCTGTGGTTTCCGAAAATCTGAAGTTTAGTCCCTAGTCTTTAAAAACCTCACAGATGGTCCCTATGGTTTCAAAACTTTTAACAAATGGTCCTTTTCGCTAACTCCATTAGCTTTTTTGGCTGTTAAGTGAAGGGCATTTCGGTCATTTCACTACTATAGGGACCATTTATGAAGTTTTGCCTTATTTAAATGTATATATATATATATATATATATATATATATATATATATAGGGAAAGGATCAAATGAGAATGCCTAAAAGGTTGAGAACGCGAGAACAATTGTGAACCAATCATCATATAAGGGCATAAAAGGAATTTTACAATATAATTAATTATGGATAATTTATGATTAATTAATTAATTCCTATAATCATGGGATTTAATATGATTAATAGATTTTTTACCCAAATATTATGAACTTATATAATCTATTTTAAATTAACAAAATCAATAAAATGATTTTAAAAAACGTTTTTAGCATAATTTAAAAAAAATGTTTTTTTTTTTGCTTTAAGTTTTTTTTACCAACCACATCAAAAATACTGACGCATTAATCATTTTATCTGAATATTAGTAATCATGCATGAATGAATATATATTTGTAGTCATATGAAGCCGGTAATAATCTTGAATGAATAGATGAATTAATTTATATTCATAAATGAATAAAACACAATTAAAGAAACATCACCATAAAAACATCTAAATATGAATTGCTTCAATCATTAATGAATATACATCTAATCTTATGAATACATTTAAATACACAGTTAATCACTAATGAATACACATTTAGTCATAAATGAATCGAAAACATTGTTAAGAGACAAAGAATTTCTAATATGGTATCGACTTTGGCTTCCTCGGGTTAAAGAGATTGATTCGTTGTAGATCTCCGATGGGTCACAGAAGCGTGGTAGTCCGGCGATGATTTTTCTCAGACCGCCTTAATCTTTTCTGTCACCCAACTTCCCTTTTCCATAGCATTCTTTCTATGTGTATATTTTTTTCTGATCAAGCTATTGTATCTGTATCAACATAAAAACCCAATATTGATAAATGAATAAGACATGAGTGAAAATAATAATGTAATATAATAAGCCAGACTATGATATTCACTGTTCATAAATGAATAATGTGTTAGTTAAAAAAAATGAGACATTTGACATTGTATTCATATAAGATTACAATTGAATTTTTATTGATAAATTCACATAGTCATATTTCATAGATGAATAAAACTAGATTCATCTATGAATATGACTAAATGATGAACATGAATCACTCAAGATTTAAAGAAACCAACAATCAAACACTTGGTGTGCATGAAGAGATTCATCCAAAAACCCATTTATCAGACATAAAAAGGAAAAGGAAAATGGTATTCAATAAGCAAGAACCTCTTTTCTTATCATAAGAAGCCCAACTGCATATTCATTGTTATGTTTATGTTTCCTATGCCACAGCATGCCAAGAAAGACCCAATTTTGCTATATATTGGAGACAACATAAAAGCAATTTCAAAAACATTTGCAGAGGCTATCTAAAGATTGAAAAAGAAACCAATGAAATTGAATCAGATGGTAATCACAAGCTAGCACAGGAAAAACACAAAACCTCGGTACAAAAAGAGGCACTCATTTAAATAACTGAAACATACATTATCAATACACAGATGGTCGATGGGAACGAGATACCTGAATCTGAAGAGGGACATCAACGTCACCTTTACCCTAACCCTAGCGCCGATCTTCGCTGGACTTTCTTCTTCTGAAGCGGAAGCCGATGTCGGATCGTCGATGATTGTTGTGGAACTAGAATCCAATGTCGCTGATTTCATACATGGATTCAAACTTGAAATTGGGGTAAGACGGCAGTGGATCGATCGATGTGAAGAGAGGGAATAAAAAGGGAACCGAATTCATTGAGAGAGGCGTTTATTTTGAAACCCTAGAGAGAGAGCGAGGGAGATAAAGATACGGGATTATGAAAGGAAAGAGGAGAGAGGGTGAGAAATTGTAGGAAATATGTAAATTTGCAGTTCCTATTATGCCCTTCTGGCAATTTAAAAGTTACACTTTAATGCCCGTAGTTTTAGAATTTTTATAAATCGCCCGTTTAATAATAACCTTAGATCTAAATATTTAAATGGCCCAGATCTGTTCTCGCGTTCTCAACCTTTTAGGTGTTCTCATTTGATCCTACTCCTATATATATATATATATATATATATATATATATTATATATATATATATATATATATATATATATATAATTATTTGATATAAAGGGGGCCCACCCACCCATCTCTCTCTCTCTCTCCCCCCCCCCCCACAATTCACATTTTCACACTCACATTTTTCTCTCGTTTTCGCCATTGTTGTCTTCCACCCCTCATGAGAGGAGTAGAAAAACCCAATTCAACAACACCATAAATCTCAGCGAACTGAATCGAAATCAAAGTGTTCCACCAGTTGTAGAAGCTATAATCAACTTGATGGAGTCTCCGTCTTACTACCAACCACCGCC